TCTCCCTCTCCCTCTCCTCCTTTCCTCCTCCTCCAACTCTTCCTCCTTCTCCTCTTCCCACTCCTCTTCCTCCTCCGTTCCTTTTTCCTCCTCCTCCTCCACCACCACCACCACCCACCATCACCAAATCCCATTCCTTCCTAGAGAAGAGAAGAACTGAGGCCCATTTACAGAAGTTAAGTGTTATTCCTCCTTTTCAGCAAACTGACTCAGGACAACCGAATCGAAAGTCCCATTCCCATCTTGCCGCTTCCAACCCCGGATGCCGAAACAGAGAAGCTGATCAAGATGAAGGACGAAGAGGTAAGCTGCTGAAGGCACTGTTAAAGTTTTAAACATGGCTAGTCCTTGAGAGTTGCGACCGTCATGGAGCCTGCCCGTGATGATCGTAAGCCATGACTCTTTGCCTCAATAAAAGGGAAGATCTACAGCTCAGGACTGAACTGTAGAGTCCTTGGCGCTCTCTGAGCTGACTGGTTTGCTTGCAGGTGTTTTCCCAACTAGCTGTTAGCCATCCGCAATGGTGATTAGCATAACACATACAAATTAACCACAGGTAAACACTATTCAAAAGAGATATTAGAAAAGCTAAGAAGGAAAACTAGAGACCAGAACACGTCTTCTCCAGCAACCAGATAAAGCAAGGATTAACCCCAGACAAACCATCCAGCAGAAAACAATGCCTTCATCAAGCCATGAATAAGGAGAACGCAACATCCCAATCCACAACAGTGGAGCAATGAACTTTATGTAAATGTATTTAAACAGGGAGCAAACCCCACACTCCCTAGCGCTGATGATGTTACCTAGTCAGGTGATGAAACATGTCCAAGCAAACCACCATGCTCAGAGGTGGACACCCATAACCGATTTGCCCTCATTTGATTTGGATTCTCAGTTGATTCTGCTACGGCCGTTTCTCCATCGGGACGGAATCGACCCAGTGGCTCTTAAACGGATCTGATTGGAGGACGCGGTTCAATTTTGCGATGCGGTTCTGCCAACCAAGCATCGGTCCTACTGCCTGTGAACCCAAAGGTGCTTTGATTTTTTTTAATCCCAAGAGGCAACTGGACTTTCTGGTTTCCCTTGGAAGA